CAGTTGCTTTGAGCAAGTCCTAAAGAATGTGGTTTATAGGTGTTTCTTCAGAGTTTAAAGGCTTGTCATAGTGATCCAGAAATCTAGATTTTGTTAATGCTTCCGCAGCAAAAACATGTTGTAACTTGAACCTATAAATTAAGAGTTACCTGACATTTAACTTGTAAATCATTCAAAAGAAATACATTCTTATGTGCATGGCTTTGGAAATTTCTTAGTCAAAGACAAAGAAGGAATGATTTCACATTTCTTCAAAACACAGAATCATATAATCAATAGTATATTCTTTTTGCTCTGCCTTAAGATGAGTGTTTTGCCTGGTAGCAGTTAAAGAAAAGTGAAGAATGTTGATTAGGTGCCTGTTGTTTGTAAATGGCTTTTACAACTGTTTGTCTCTGATGTAAAGAAAAATAAGTGATGTAGCACAGAATTTTCCTAAAAATGCATTGTTATCGCTGTACAATATAGAATGTGAGCAATGTCCTCACTGAACAATGGTTAGACTGTTCTGTTTCATCATTGTCTTGCATTGTAAATATTTATTCTGATTGAGAGACCCAGGCTTTTGTTGTCTTCAATGTAAGTGTATGCATTTTTAAAATAATCTTTAATAATTTTGAAGATAAAAATACAGTGCAATTTTTCCTTGGATTTCAGAACTGATTTAGAGTTTTATGAGTGCCAAAACGGTTATAATGAAGAATGGGAAAGGATCATAAATTATCTATAGGTGTTACATTGTATCATGTGGACTTGTGTACTAGACTAGAGATTTACCTGCAAGCAATTGATGCAAATTCCTCTCTCTGGTCTATATATGTATTAGTATGTCTCTTCTTCCATTGGATTATAATCTTCATTACATTTTCTTTTTAAAAATATCAATTGTCTCATGGAGTGCTTTTTTCCCCATAGATTTGGAGTTACTCTGGAGGTCTGGGGTGTTTCCATGTGCCTGATATCACTTGCTGTCCTTCTGAGGCATGTCACAGTTTTGTGAGGTTTGGCATTTGCACATGAGTGAGGGGAGAGGTTTTGTATTCAGTAGCTGTACTGTGGACCCTTCTGTGCTGATTGCAGGATGATCTGCAATTGCAGTCAGCCAGCTGCAGCAGTCTTGGTGAGCCAGTCCCAAAGCTGTGTTCACACTGGAATCCATGTAGGTTACTGCTGTGCATCACTTTTGGACATGCAGTGAAAAGGGAAAGACAGCTCTTCTCAGAAGCTGTAGGAATGAGTATAATACTGTGGCATGTTCTTCTCTGACAATGAGCATTGTAACGAAGCAAGTCTTCATCCATATCTTCTGGAAAAATTTAAAGTTGTGTGATGAAGACATCCTAATTTTTGATCTGCAGGGTGGCTTCAGTGCCCAATCAGAGGGAAGAATACCTCTTCTGGAGAGAGGCATTCATTTCCCAGGAAGCCAGTCTCTACTCGTGCTGGGAGTTGATGGGATGGCTAAAAGTGATAAGGCAAGCCCCAGACAGGCTGTGGTGTCATGTCCTGCTTGCACAAAGCTGTGAAGATCAGTTTGCTGTGAGTGGGATTCATGTGCCAGACTTGCTCTGTTCAGAAGCAAGCTGTCTTTAATGTGAAGGGCTGAGGAGAAATGGTGATTATTGAGGCAAGAGAGTGAATGGCACCCCCGTACGCAAACAGATTTGGGAATTCAGTGGAGCAAGTAGAGGAATTTGCTGGCTGAGAAAACAGGAGTCCTGGCTATTACTTCTCCCTGGCCTCCATCATTAGGACTTTCCAATGTAGAGAATCAAACGCTTGCTTTACTTCTTTTTCTTTTTGCTTGTTGTAGTTTGAGACTGTCCCAGAGATTGTTACTGATGTTATTATGATCTGTTTCATAAAAAATATACAAAGGGAGTTTCTTAAAAATGTCTGTGAACCAGCAGATTGCTGATGCTAAAGAAGTTTTGCATCTGTAGAAGGAGTTTACTGCCCCAGGTGTGTGTGGAGCTTTGGTTTTTTCCACAGGACATCAGGATTGATTAGTGATGCTTCTGATGCAGGTAAATTGCTATTAGTAACAGGAGCAGACAGAAGTAATTTATTTGTTTCTCAGGGGACTGCAGTGACTGTACTATTGTGTTACTGTAACAGAGGGAAGTGACATTTGTTTTCTTGAATGCTAACCAAGCTAGTTCATAATTGCATTGATCAGCTGATTTAATTTGAAGGGAACAGTTTTTAAGGAACTTGTTTTTCAGGGTCCAGATGCTGCTCAGCTTCCATTGAAATCATGGGAAGGGGTTGCTAAAAGCTTTGGGAGCATTATTTACTGAGACTGTAGTTTAACTGCTTGCTTGTCTAGCTGTATTACTTTCATTAAAATAACTGTATTCTTATTTGGAGAGGACTTAGCCAGAGCTGGCAGATAGCTTGGTTTCTCTGTGGGTTATGTGTAGTCTACACCTGTATATTCCTGTATATTGAGAAACTTTCAAAGGGAAGATGGGGAACTTGCAGAAGAAACTCTTGTCGTCTTTCTAAGTCTTTCTTTTGATTTCAGCTACTCAATAACATGATTTAAAAATATATTTGAACTTAATGAAGCTGATTAGCTGAGGGGCACTAGCTGGTGGTGGAAAGGAGGAACTGAGATAATAAAGGGAGAAGTTACAGTTTAAGCTGGTAAACAGTGCAAGATACATGGGCAGACTCAAAGCTGAAAATAGCAATAATCCAGAATTATATCTGCCTGGTCTGAATACAAGGACTCTTTTCAAGGTTAGTACAACATTAGAAGTGAAATGTGAAAGGTACTGCAGGAAAGGAAGTGTTAGTTCCTCTCCCTTAAGCTCTGTTGATTAGATTTGTTTGTCAAGTTAACAAATGCATGTGAAGTGCATGAGGCTTGATAACATCTCTTAAATACTGCTGTTAACAAAGTACTGATTAAGCTACAGTAAACTAAACTGAAACACAGATGCAGGATCCTCTTTTTGAAAATGCACATCTGTCATCTCTAGAAGAGCATTACGTAACATACATTAGTAGGGGAAGAGTCCGAACAAGCTCAAAATGAAATAAATCAAAGCTTCAAACTGGAGCCAGCACAAGCTGATAGGATTGAAATATTTGCAGATATGGAAAATGTAGTGTACAGAGCGTAGACATAAGCTATATCCATGTGAAATGTCAAAGTAGCTAGGAAAAGTTAAGATGAACACAGGAATATACTAAAATCACTGGATGAGGGCTTTTGTTACCTTCAGAGCAATGACAAAAACACAAAACCAAAGGAGTTTTTTTTAATGGAGCTTTGAGATTCCATATCAAGACCTCCAGCAGAAAAAGATTCCAAATCTGCATTAAAAGATTGTTTTAAGTCTTATTATGAGCAAGTAAGCCAGCTGATGAAGATGTTACACCATCTAGCAGCAAATTTCCTCAGGGAGTTTGCCTTCCTTCCTGGGTTGGTCAGGCTTTGTGCTGCATAGAGGGGAAGTTTCAGAAGACCAGATTGCATGGCAGCGATCCAGAGTCTCAGAGCAGAATTCTCAGCCTACATCTGGAAGGCGCCCTGCAGTTCTACAGACTGATTTATCCCATGGCAGGATTGTCACAGCAGTGGATGGTGCTTCAGTGTCTGTTTTATGTGGACATCAGTGATCTGTTGCTTTATTTTTAACCTGTCCACCCTGCTACAGACTGTCAGAGCACTGACATAGGTGATGCTGCTCACAGTCACTGCTGTGGGCTAGGGCAGTTGAGAAGTTAAGAAGCCTTGGGGCAGACCAGAACAACTCACAGGTGAAATTCTTTGCAATTGCCTTCCGTTAGTGACTATCATCTTCCCTTTGCCACAGGTTCCAGGGCATATCTTTCATGCATATAAAGACATATTATTTTAATCCAGAATACCTATTGTACTTTAAACAGGAAAGCAACTGACCTATGTGGCTGGTGTATTTTTCCCCTTCTGAGTAATACAAAGCATCTGTACACACTTACATGCATCCTTGGGATGCATTTCTTTTGGTAAGGCCTGTGTACATCTGCAGCCAGTGCCACTACGGCTCCAGAGCTACTGTTGAAGCTGTTCAGCATACCCTGTGTAGCAGGGGAATACTTTCTGAAGTATAAATGACCTAAGAGAATCTGCTGTTCAGATAGCATGTTTGTGGGTAGGTACCAAACCACAGAAAGGAAATTATTTGTGCTTATTTGCCCCTTTTCAGCTGTGAATCTTTGGCAAAGAGTAGTTTAGCCTTTATTTTGGGAGATGTAATGGGCAGAGGGCTGCAGTAGGGGGCAGGTGAGGAAGGACTTCCATCTACATTCTTCCAATGGCACTTGACACCCTAACAACCCAGCAAGATAATTTGGTTTGTCTCACATTCTTGCTGTCACTTGGGAAGCTGAGGTCTTGACAGGGTGGATGATTAAAGCAGGAATTCTGAGTGGTTTCCACCTACTTCTGTTATACTGGGCTTTCTTATTGTAGTTGTCTCTTCCCATTGTTGAGAGATACATCTGGTGCAGGTAGTTCAGATGCAGATTGAGCTCTGGGTGAGAGCCTGAGACAAGAGGCCATGAATTGCCAACCTCTTGGACATCAAAGGGCATGAAGATGAATAGTGCCAGTGAGATAGGTGAATGGACACTGGGACACACAGCTGGAGCAGGGGACTCAGGATGAAGAGTGAGATTTGTGTGCAGGTAGACTGTGATGGTATAAAATCCCAGGGGGTCCCTATTTGGGGGTGCTCCTTGGAGGCACCAGCTCAGGCTGCTGTGTTACTGCACTGTGAACAAATGGTTTTGTGGAACAAGACATCTGAGACGCGGCCCTGGGAAACCTGGGGACAAACCAGAAAGCAAACGTGTCCAGACTGTGTGAGTGGGGTGTGCAGGGAGTCAAGCAGGGGTTTCATAGGCTCACAGGAGCCTCCTGCTTTGAAGGGGCTTCAGTCCCAGCAGTGAAAGTCTCTGGTGTTGAGAGTGCAGCTGCCAGAGTCACGTGAATGGTCAGACTGGAAGGTTTCCTTAACACCAAGTACTTCCTGCTCGTAACCCAGAACTAATTTTCTGCCTCTGTCAGATGGACTGTTCAAGGGAATGCCCCAGCCACCAGGCCCAAGTCATGTACATGCTTTTCCTTCCTTTTGTACTTCTCACCTACCTTGAGAGACTGTCCTGTGTTCTCTGAATCTGGCTGGCTGATTTTGCTGCAGCTTCGTGGTTCTAGCAACATAATGAGGATCTAGGTGGTGTGGTTCCAGGTGTCTGCAGGCATTTTTAGTTACTGTTTTGCCTATCCTGCAGAAAGCAAAGCTGGACTACCTGAGTGGATGAAATCTTTGCTTCACTGAGCTAAGATCATCTGAGGGGTCTGCAGCCAGGATTTTGACCTCTTTTGTATTTTGAAATGGCGTTTGTTTCTGAAGACTCTCTGCAATGGCAGTATGGCTGGAATCCATCTTTTAGGAACCACTGTGGCTATAGATAAGAGTAACAACTGAGCTTCAAGTTGTCCTCTGTCTTGGCATCCCCATGTGCCCCAGGCAGCTTTGCAGGAAGTTGCGAACCAAATAAAACACAGTAAAGGAGGAAGCTGAGCTCCTACCTGGCACCTTCTGGGCAAGTGTACTCTGCTGTTGGATGGAGATGCTGTAGTAATGAGGAGTTCTCATTTTGTGTGAGGTACGGCCTAAACATCTAACTGGAATCCTGAACAAAAGGGACCATCTAGGGGCAGTCTCATTGCCTTAGCACTTCTTCCTTTTTGGCAGGCCCCCAATTTGATGTGCTTCAAGTTTGGATCCCACTTTGCAGGTGCCCAACTCCTCACCTTTGAATCAGGTAGTACGTGGAGTTAATTTAGCTGTGAGATATCCTGTGGAACTTGTCATAACTCGCTTTGTGTTGGCTTTGAGTGGCACTGCTTTTCTGGCATGCTTGTCTGTTTGTACTCAGTACTGCAGATGGTCTGTTCATTCACGTAACTTTATCCTTTAATTAGCCCTGTGGAGTTAAAGTGCTTTGGGTTGATACAGACAGAATTTGAGTTGTGTGCATTATTAGGGACCCAGCCAATTGGGGATGCGACAGGGTGGCATCTGGGTTTAGTTTACAGCTTTCTCTAAGCCACCCTTGAACAAAGGCAGGCTTTATTAGAGCATCTGCCAGGCTTCTTTACCAGAGGAGAGCTGTTTCACATCATCTTTGAATACACAGTTGGATTTTATCTGCTGTTTGAGCTCTTTCAAAGAATTCTAACACATGCTGTCCTTGAAATACCTGCAAAAAAACTGGTTTGACTTGTTTGCCATCATCAGAGAGGGTTAACTGTGTTTTCCAATAATTTTCCGTGTTCTCTTTATAGTCACAACTTGTCCTTGCCTGCAAACCCAGAACCCTTTTCAAGGGGAGACACAGAGCAGAACTCCTTCACTTTTGCTCCATTACATATTACCTGGCATATTTTCATTGAAGCCTAATGTTCTCTGGATTTCCTTTCTCTGTGTTTTCTTGGGAAAATACCTTCCCTTCCTGCCTTGTTTATTGTGGTTTGATAATCCCATCTCAGCCCATGTTTATATTCCCTCTGGCTTGGCTCTTTTAGAGGATGTAACTAAGCAGGTGTGGGGAGGATCTGAGGAGGTTCTGTGTTTCCTCTTTGTGCTGGGATTCAATAATGCTGGTAAATCTCATGTTCCCATTTGTCCTCCAGTAAGGAAGTATCCTTGTTGCCAGTTTATGCACACTGATATATTTTACTTTTAAAGTAAGTGATGCCTGAAAGTTACGGAGGCGTTGCCTTTAAAGCTCTCATGCGTGCTCTGTGGTGCTGTCTTGGCCTCTCTGGGAGTAGCACAAATCCTGCCCACGTGTCAGTAAAGCTCTTGAACTTGGCTGAGCACTCGAACGGGCAAACAGCATCAGGCAGCAGATGGAGTGTGTGTTTGGGATGCAGCAGGCCTTGCTTATATTTTTGGTTTTGTTCATCATTTTCTCTACAACCTTTGAGAAGTCTTTCCCCCTCAGTGAAAAGAGGATAGTGAACTGTCATTCTCCATATAAAGTGCCTTGGAACTTTTTTTTCCCCCCCTATTGTTTAATCAAAACCAGTCAAAATACTTGATCCTGTTTTCATTTTACACAACTGCAGTATTCCTGTGGAGTCTAGTGGAAATCAGCCAAGCTTTTTAGGTTTTTGATTCCATGAAATATGCTGAATGGTCTGGTTCTATCTTCAAAACTTCCAATTAAATGTTAAATAAAAAATGTGTGCAATATAAATTAAGGGTATGCACTAAGTGCTAAGATATACTATTTCCAAATTATTAAACAACATAATACACAGGCCATTTATCTAGTCTCTGTTTTTTGCTTTTTCAGATTCAGAACCAGACAAACAAAAAGTTGTTATGTTATGGAAACAGAGGAACAGTGCATCATTCAGTTGCCCTGTTTAATATAGTCCCTGCTGTGTTAATTCCTTTCTAATCTGTTCTTTAAACACAATTGATTGTGTCTCATTTATGGCAAATTACATTCCAAATAAACACTCAATGATATTACATGTTTCAAAAAGCTTTTTATTTATTTTAACTTCACTAATCTAATAAAAAGTATGGTTAGTTATGCCTGCCTTTCAGATGAGCATTGCCAATTTTGGCTAATTTATGTCTATCACTATCTTTCCTATGTGTAATGCTTCCCTGTTACATTAGTAGAAGAAGGATAAAGTGTGTGTAGTCCTCCCAGTGAATTCACAATCCCTAGTGAGGGATTTTGATTATATTAATCTCTAATAGTCTTAGGAAAGGAACAGCTCATGTCATTCATATAAACCTGTAACAGTTGAAAGATGTATGACAAGAGCCAAATGCAGGCTATTTTCTGTTTTTAGCCAAAGCTGCAGCATTCAAGTGTTTTTAGGATGACTCCTGAGGCAATTCCATCCAGTATGGGGGGTTGGCAGTTTAGGAAACTTAGCTGTGTGAGCTTTGCTTCCTGCGCCTCCGGGTAGCACACTCAGCTTGGAGAGCTGCTCTTCCTCCCTCTCCCTGTCCAAGCAAACTCAAGCATGATCCCTGCCCCTCTAGCTCTGCTGTTAAAATGCATTCAGAACTGGTTGAGAATTTATTTGTTCATTTTGCGTTAATTGTGCTCTGACCTGTCTAGTTAAAATTCTTTAAAATTTCTGTGTCTCTTCTCACCCAGCAAGGGCACCAGAATACAGAGAAAAAAAGACATATGTCTTGGTCCAGTGGATGGCATAGCTTTGATTTAGAAATTACTGCATTTCAAGCTACTTTAACATCATCTAATATTTTTATTTTTTAGTTGCAAGGCCTTACAATGGCACAGAATGAGCACTGCGTTCAAGCCTCCTTCCTGTAAATGATAGGACCAAACAAGGCGGTGTGATGAACATGCCACTGCATCAAATCTCTGTCATTCCAGCTCAGGATGTTACCTCTTCCAGAGTCTCCAGGAGCAAGACCAAAGAAAAAGAGGAACAGGTACTGTCACATATGCTTGATTTTCACTGGAAATTATCTAAGTATAAAATGATAGCGGTTACCAAATCAGACCTGATTCTATTCCAAAGCCCCAAGTCCTTGCATTACTGCTGCTTTTAGTGAGGACAAACACTACCAAATTATCTTCTTATTTTTGTGTTTGCTATTTTAAAGCAACTGTCTGCAAAATTCTAGAGATTGTTGTTGAGTAACTTCTGCAAAATGCAAGCTACAGCCATCTATTTTGCATAAGAATTCAAGGCAGATAGAGATTTGGATGATTGTTCTAATACCATTATTGTAGAAGCTGTTACAGGTGTATTTAAAGAAAAATTATATGGAATGTGAACTCATATATGTAGCCATGCATCCTGGTTTTCTTTGCTCTTGGTAGCATGTAGTAGCTGTGCTGTATTTCAAAGCAACTAGAATATCACAAGGAGGGCTGTGTACACCATATGTATACATACTCTACTGGTTTATGCAATATGATTTGTATTCTTAATTTGGGAGTGTGTGTGAGTGGAATCAATCTGAGGTCTTGCTGTGGTGCTAATGCAAAAATATCTGTAGTATCTACTGATTATAAGTCCAGTAAAATCCATTCAATACACTACTTAACAGTTTGTAATAGCATGTGAAGAAGACTAGACTATATCTAATCTTTGCATGTCAACCTTATTTATCTGGGCTGTATCTCATGCAGCCCAAAAACCTTAATGTGCATTGTGCTTTAGTGTACACTGTACTGCATTGATCTTGTATTATCTGTCAGTTCCACAGAAACGTCTTTGTGCTTTTGTAGCTTTAAGATAGATTGACGTCAGGAGAATATTCACATTATGGTACAGCTGCAGGGCTTGCTTTGTGGACTGCTCAGCAGTGGTTAACTCTCAGGAGACCTGGAGTGGTGCTGATTACAGATAGGGTGTAGCTTATCTATAAGGGACTAGAAAGGCACCATCATGTTACAGTAAGGGATTCACCAACACTAACTTTGAGTAGGGTAAAAGAGTAATTTCTGACACATTGTGATAATTTTCCCTGATGACCCATCTCACCTGATAGCTGTCTAGATTGCACCTGTCAAAGTCACCAGGAGAAATAAACTGTCCTAGTATTTGCTGTTTTGATTATTTTCCTTAGTAACATCTTAATGGATTTTACCCCTTCAGATTCTTAAGCTAGATTCTTAATTAGGCTGGCACACTGCTACCTTTGGTTGCTAGAACTAGGCAAGAAGTTGCCATCACAGAGAAGATGCTCTCAATCCATAAAGCGCCTTGTCTCAGGAGTCTGCTGGGATCTGTCCCTTCCCACGTGTCACACAGAGTTACTGTCTGGGCAGCTCCCTGGGTAAGAGGGCTCTGCTGTTTCCTCCCTTTGGTGCTCTCCCATGTAGTAACTGTGAGTGCTGAGAGTGAAACAGCTCCTTTGTCAAATGCAGGGCAGTGCTGTGAATTTACTACTCTGCTTTGGGGCAGTGGAGATTAGGAGGCAGATCAGAACGCTTGGGCCTCTAACCATGCAGTGGGCTCAAGTGAGAGTCTCAACTCTTCTTCTAAACATGTTTTTAGTTTCCAACACAGTGACTTTAGTGTTAACAAATATCCCCTGTGTTTCCTTCATGACAACTAGTTGAAATGTTGGTTATTGTTCCCCTTACTGGGTTGCTGTTATATTTTCAAGCCTTGGCACATTAGAAGCAGAGCAGAATACTTGTTTAAATATGTGCAGTGTTGAAGAGGAGGTGGGACCATGCAAGCAATAGATTAGGCCAACTTGAAAACACTTTGTTTCCCAATATGTCTCCATCAGCATATTCATTCATTTCCAGGTGTCCTGCATTCTGCCAAAACTACAGCTGGAACAGCTGGAGCTCTGGGTGAGCTGTCAGCTGTACTGACACTGTGGATGCTCCTGTGCCCATGAGCCTGGCTCTTACACTCCCTTCCTCACTCCTGCTTCTGGTGTTAACCTTTAATGCTGGATCTTACAATGAGCTGGAGGGCAATCAGTTTGTTAATGGGCTGACTTTGACCAATCCAGTTAAACTTTCATATTGCATCAGTTAGGATGTTCAAGGATACTTTATAGTCAAAGTCCTTGTTAACTCTTGGATGCAGTCAAGACCCACTGGGCAAGTCTGAGTTTGCTCATATTTAAAGAATATAGTAAAGGCGAGATGGGATGCAAGAGAAAAAGAATTTCAAGATTATCCTTGCCATATTTTAAATCAGTTTTTTGTTTCAAAATACCTGTTTTCTGTTGAGATAGCAACTCCAAGATAAAGGGCAGCAATGCAGCTGAACATGATCCTGTATTGGGCAAGTCTGCTGAGCAGTTGCAGATAGTTGTTGTGCCCTGGGTAGCATCTACTGTACAAGAGATTGATACTGGGTAAAACTGAGAAAGAAGGTGTTCCAGTACAAAGTCAGTGTAACTTCAGTACTTTAATATTTCAGTTGCATAAGTTCCCATTAGACAATACAGGTCACAGTTATTTTTTTGAGTTGTGGGCTTAGACACAGTTCTTATGTCTGAAATGTTGCAAGTTTTTCTCAAAAACTATTGTATATTTTTGCACAGTTTGAGCCAAGTAATGTAATTTTCTTACCTTACCTTTATTATATAGTAAGAATAGTAAATTTCTTACTTTTTCTGTGCAGGAACAGTAAACTTCTCGAACAAATGTGTACACTGTAGTCTTAAAATATTTTCAGTTGTACAAAGCCACTCAACAATCTTAACAAAATCCAACCACAGTCAAAGCCAATAGTACTGTTTCACAGATAAATATGTGGGTTTGCTTTGTAGGATCAGGCTTCTTAGACCAAGTGCATTTCCAGGTGTGCACTTTATAGACTGAGCAATCTCAGGTACATATCTCCCCTGTTTATTAACAAGCTGTGGCTAAAGCCAAGGTAAATAAAGATAGAGTGTCATCTAGCACATGAAATTTTGTCTTGCTTTCATTTTTGCTATTTCAAGCCAGACCTTTGTTGGTACCTACATCCTGCATTGTAAGAAGTCCTTTGGAGGAAAGGCTCAAGAAGCACTGCAGCAGAAAATGAAGGACCAAGGTGCCTAGAGGGAGAACTCCACCAGTCTCTGAAAAACCAGTGTCTTTCCTATTTCCCAGAACATGCTCTATGTTCTGCTATCTTTTGTAATTCTGGATGTGGTTAGTTATCCACATTTGTCATAGAGCTGCAGAGGAAGAATTCTCAATCTGAACAGTACAGATCTCACTATTTCTTCTCTTCTATGCTTCTGGTCAAGATGTAGCTCTTTTATTTCAGGTTAAGACTTGGTTTTATTCTAGCTTTTCTTGCTACGAGAGGAAATTTTCTGGACTACTGTTTTGTAACTAAATGAAGAACAGCAAGAAATCCTTACCACCTTTGTCATTACAGTGCAGTTTTCCATATTGAGTGATGTATAATACCTAGGCATGCTTAATGGCAGATTAAATTGTAGGCTCAATAGCTGTGGAAGACTGTGGCCAAAAACCTATTGAATTTGAAGAAGTGTTACAAGGAAAGATTTTTGTCTACCCTTTCTGGTCTATGTCCTCAGTGGTATGTATACATAAGAGCCCAATAGATTCAGGTTAATGTAATTTTCAACATTTAAAATAGTTGAAATCTGAGGTTAGCAGCAATATTTCACAAAACTTTTGTCCATTTCCCCAGTAAAATAAGGAAGGTTGTAAAGCGATTATTACTCTTGCATTTAACTCAGATGAACTGATAGCTTTAAGGGCTATTAATAACCATCATTAGCTTCTTACTTACCCTTCGCTAGGAATAGCTTCATGCTTGCCTGATTTAAGGGAGAGTTGCTCTATTGTGTGTGAGAAGCCGCAACCCCCTTCCCCTTTTGGTGGGCAGTATGCTGGCAGCAGTGTTTCCTGGTGCATGCACAAGCAAGCAGCCCTCAGGATTTCATGGGAAACGAGGAATGATGCTGGCATGTGATTGAGGTGGTGTTCTGCATTTGTTATATCATTGTCTTTTTGAGGGCTCTCTGCCTTCCTCACTGAAGCAGACTGATGTCTGCTACAAGTTGTTAGTGTTACTGCAGTGAGTGAAGCTCCCTCAGCAATAGCTTTTCACCCCTCTTCTAAAAATGTGCACCAGCCATGGCCTCTGGTGCTGTGATCTCTGCAGATCTCATAAGCAGATCAGCGATGGGTGGGATCAGTGATGGAATGAGAGATCATGAGATGTTGGTGCAAGTCATTTTTGGGCACAGTACTGTTCCTTCTCAATAACCTCACCCTGGGAATCAATACCGAGCTGTCATCAAAGATCACACAGCATTTATCGCAGATGCAGATCAATCTTCTAGTCAGATTTAAACTTGCTGATTCCAGTTGATCAGCTGAAACTCCCCTCTGCTCTCTTCTCTTGTTTTCTAAGTGCTATGCAGTATTAAAACTGTCTGCTATATGCTCAGCAGAGATGCTGTGATTGTCCCTAACATCTCCAGGTATTTCTCAAAGCTGTCATCTGGAAGACACTGAGTACTCATTTGTGTAGATGGAATTATGGTGAGAGAAGCACATTGTGATGCATCTTCATAAAGTTCTTCTGCCTTTGTAATGATCTCCTGCATCCTGTAACAGGAAAGGCGCTATGGCCTATTGATTCAAATAACCCACGTCTTACTGTAAAACCAGGATTTAGAGAAAAAAGGCAATTGATGCATTTGCAAGAGTTTGTAGCCATAGATCAGTATTCTCAAGGTAAAGGTGTGTGCTTTATGTTATTGAATCTAGAGTGACACTTTGAGAGCTGTTTTTAAGGTACAGAAGCACCCTGACTTTCTCCATTCTCTTTTTGGACTTTGAGCTGTGAATGTGGTCTCCAAGTGGCTGAATTTGGCCCGGATACTCAGGCTTTGTAAGGCTCTGCGTGGGTGTGTTTGGTTTTGCTTGCCCATTAAACTAAATCATTCATTAAACAACCAGGCTCAAAATCCTATGTGAATATTAC